CTCCCTTGGCACCCAAGCACAGCGGACAGAAAGCCTCTGCCTGGCTCCATCCAGCTCAGCCCTTCTTTGCCCCAGCCGCAGGGCTGCATGCATGCAAGGGCTGCACTGGTGCTGCAGGGGTTGGGTTCGATCCCTGGATCCCAGACAGCACCGCGCGCTGCATGGGTCTGTGCCCAGGGGCGTCGGAGGAGGGTTGTTGTCTCTGCAACGGCCCAGGGGCCCTAAAGGAAGTGAGATCTATTTGGCCATAACTTTGCCTGGCCTGATTTCATAAGAGAGCGATGACAGACCTCCTTGCAGGCAGCGAACGGGAAGCCACACGCCAGCAGAAGGGCTCTGGGGGCAGGAGAGCTCTTGGTGGGGACACAAGATCTGTGGGGCAGGAGCTGCCGCTCTGCCCCAGGCTTGCATGGGACCGGGGCTGGGGACATGAATACATGCTGCACGCAGCCGATGGCACGCGACGGGGGTCCAGGCGGCTGAGCATGGGACAGGCCAAGCGAGAACATAAGAAAGTGGGGCTGGAAGGGACCTCATGAGGTTGCATCTCGTCCAGACCCTGCTCAACCACGTGTCTGTCCAAGCTGCTTCTGAACATCGCCGAGGATGGAGATGCCCCAGCTTCTCCACACAGCCTGGTCCAGCCCCTGACCACCCTCAGAGTCAGCAAGCTCCCCCTCATCTCCAGCCTCCGTTTCCACTGCTGCAGTTTGAAGCTGTTGCTCCTAGCCTTGTCCCCTACATGCACAGAGAAAAGCCCATCTCCACCCTCTGTCGTGGCCCTTCAGGGACTTGAAGACTATCAAACGCCCCCATCCAGGTTTCTCTTCTCCAGGCTAAATATCTCTAGTGCTTTCCACCTTTCCTTTTCACTCTCATCTCCCAGGCCCCTGGTCATTGCTGTTGCTTTGCACTGGACTCTTCAAACTGTCCACACCTTTTTCAAAGCACAGGGCCCAAAACTGGACACAGGACTCCCCTGTGCTGAACGGAGAGGAAGACTCGCTGCCCTGGATTTACAAGTGATGCTGCTGTCGATGCACCCCAGGATGCGGATGGGGGTTTTTGCAACAAGAGCCCACTGTGGGCTCATTCAGCTCGTGGTCCACTATAACCCCCATGTCCTTCTCTGCAGCATGACAGCCCAGCCAGTCCTTACCCACTCTGTACTGGTACATGCAGTTATTCCGTCTCTTTGCTCTTATCCTTGCTGAAGCTCATCTCATAGACTGCAGACCATTTTTCCAGGCTATCCAGGTCGATCTGGATCCTAGCCCTGCCCTCTGGTGCGTCTGCAATCCCACCCAGTTTGGTGTCACCTGCAAACTTGCTAAGCCCGCACTCAATCCCCTCACCCAAATCATTCATGAAGATGTTGAACAGCGCTAGATCCTGGGCAGACCCCTGGGGGACCCTACTTGATACCCCCTCCCAACTACACATCGAGCCATTGAGGGCTACCTGCCGAGTTTGAGGATCCAGGCAGTTCTGCATCCACCTCACAGGACTTTTGTCTAGTCTGTGTTTCCTTAGCTTGCAAAGCTCCAGGTGCTCCAGCACCCAGACACCCTGGAAGGGAACCGAAGGGGTGTTGGAGGGCACGTCTGGCTGGGGCTGCAGGGCGATGAGCATCCCTGAGGAAGGAAAAACTACCCCTCTGCGCAGCCCAACCTGGCACTGCCACGGCCCATGTGCACCCTGCAATGCAGGTCAAGGATGTGACTGCTGCATGCCATGCAGAGGGTAAGAGAACAGCTGTCTCCTCAGCCCAGGAGCCAGAGAGATCGCAGCAAAGGAAGCCTAAACCCGGCTGCCAGGGGTACCTTCCCCCACGCCTGGGGCCGTGGCACACCTGACTTGCACGCCACCTGTGCACACAGTCACATGGGCCTGGGGGCAACGGGAGGCCGGGAGAGCTGGCTGCCACCCAGTGCCTGGGAACAAGCAGGGCTGTTTGCCTTTCCATGGTGCCACATGCAGCCTGCAGGACTCCCACCCCCTGCCGGCCCCCCCCCCCCTGCCAGCGGCCGGCTCCACTGGCAGGTTGCCCGGAGCTGCCGGCTCAGGTCTCCGTGCTGCAGAGGCAGAGGGGCACAGGGCCAAGCTGAGGACAGGCAGGATCCTCTGGGCTTCTCCTGCAGTAGAGCAGGGAGCCGTGGGCACAGCTGAGGCTGCAGACCGGGCTGGAGCAGAGGGCTGGGTAATGGGTCCAGCTTTCAACTCCCAGGGCCCATTCCTCCTGCTAGTAACAGCCCCAGAGGGGAAAGGGAGGCCAGATGAACACACACACTAAAGACGATCCAGTTTTGCACTGATGCACAAGCATCTCCTGGATCTTTGACTCCAGGCACCGGTCCTGCCGGCGCAGGCAGGAGCTCCCCTCTCACCAGCCGCATGGATTTCCAAGGGCAGGAGACAACATGGGATCCTCCCGCCTGACCTGTCGTGGCTGGAAAATCCCCCCGACAATGCCTGGAGCTCCGTGCCGTCACTGGGCTGCCGCCTTCTATTTACTCACAGGCGAGCTGGAAAAAGCTCCGTTCACCCACAGCGAGCCAGTGCGTGGGAAGCGCGCGCAGCTCGGCCCACACCATTGAGGCCTGCAGAAGCCAGTGGGCTGCAGGGGGAGCGTCTGCCCCGCGGGAAGGGGAGCTCAGAGTGCCCTGCACCGGGACCTGAGCTCCCGCGTGGCACCTGGGGGGAAGCAGCCGGGAGATCGGCTCCCGTGGGGGCTGCCCAGAGGGGAAGGTGGCAGCGCTGCTGTCTCAGAAGCAAGCGTGGAAGTGGCCGGCTTTGCAGCAGAGCCGAGGTAACAACCCACCCCACTGCGCTCTAGTGCTGAGCCCCGAACCCCAGCACTAGGACGGGTGCCACCCACAGCCCCTGTCTGGCTCCGCAGCGGGCTGCTCCCACTCAGGCTAGAGCCGGGTCCCTGCTCACCTGCTAACCCCCGGATCAAGAGCTACCAAGGCACTCTGTAGAGGGCATCCCGGACCTGCCGCAGGCATCTCAGTGCCTGAACCTTCTGGCCCCTACCTGGGATGGCATCTGCACGGCACCAACCACGATCCCGACACAGGAGGTAGCTAACACTGCACCAACAGGCACAGACAAGGAGGCCTGGGCTGCTGGCACCCAAGTATCTGGAGAATGCCACAGCACGGGCAGCAGATCTGGGACTCCGGTTCTCTCCTGCGTGCACTCGCCTTCCCCCGATTTGCAGCCTGCTGCACACGCTGCACCCCCTTCTCCCCCGCCAGCTTCCCCAAAGGCGCCAACGAGGGAGCAAACCCTGCCCAAGGCACTGCAGGGCCTAGCAACAGGCCAGCTCCGATGCCACAGCCATGCCAGGCTCCTGCACTGCTACCTGCCACCTCCCTGCGTGAGTGCCGGGGACGCGGTGCCCTTGGCACCAGCTCACATGAGGGCAGGACAGAGCCAAGTCCTTAGCCCAGAAAGGAAGCGCTGGAAGGCTGCGAGGCCTCCGCTGTCCCAGAGGGTGCAAAGGAAAGAGGGGGCCAGGGGCAGGGGGGGTCATGCCTTCACAGGCCTGTGCCCTGCTCAGGGCAGCAGAGCCAGCAAGTGATCTCGCCACGGGCAGGCACCCACACCAGAAACCAGAGTCACTCCTGCCTGGCCCCAGAACCGGAGCAAGACTACTGCCGGCACAGCCTGGTGCTGGGCACGGAGCAGTGGCTCCCTGCAAGCAGGCCCTTGGAGCTGGGGTCTGCCGTGTCTGCTTTGGGGGCACAGAGCAGCTCCAGCAGCCCCGAGCGAAGGGCTCAACTCTGCTCAGACAAGCCCGATCATCTGGCACGTGCTCTCCTCTCCGCAGCTAGGGCATCAGCTCCCAGGCCAAGGGCTCCAGGGCAGCAGAGACAGGAGGAGGGGAAAGCAAAGCAGCTGCTCCCCGGGGGAAGGCTCCCATTAAGGGCACTTCCAGCAGATTAAAGCCATTAGCCAGATGTCACCAGCAGCAAGGTTATGCGCGGGGGGGCGGGCAGACTGCCAGGGCCCAGGCATGGAGGGCAAAGGGAAGCAAGGGGCACATGCCCCCTTGGTGCCCATTCCCCAAGCACTGGAGCAGCCAGCACATGATGGGGAGACGCACGGCACCATGCACGGGTGGCACTGGTCTGCGTGAACGCCATGAGGTTTGACAGTGGGATTAGGCCCGAGGACCACAGCGCAGCAAGGGAGCCCCACCTTGCCACCCCGACCAAGTGCCACCTTCCTTACCCCGCCCAGCTCCCCCCGCCCTGGCCCAGTCCGGCACGCACACGTGGCAGTCTCCGATTGCACGGGCTGGTGCCAGGTGGCGATTTCAGGCTGAGATCCTGGCACGGGGAAACAGGACACCGGGCCGGCGGCCCAGCTCCATGTGCCGGTAACTTAAGGAGCCCGGGACAGAAGACACCGGAGGAGATGGAACATCGATGGGATCGCGTGCGGCAACGGGACCCAGACTGCAAACAGATACACCCCCTGCCCCCCGCCGGGCACGGGACCCACACACCCCTGCCCCGGGCGCCTGCAACAGGGGAGCAGAGGCAGCAAGCGTCTCCCCTCCGCGGCTCTGCAGCCTGGCAGCCAACTACCTGTTACTCCAGCCCGTGTGTGTGTGCATGCCTGTGCGGGAGCATGCATGCATGTGACCATGCGTGTGTGCACGTGTGCCCACGGGCATGTGCGTTCACACACACCTGTGCATGTGTCCACACACTGGTGCATATGTATCCATGAGGGTGCGTGTGTATGCAGGCCTGTGCATGTACGTGCGTATGTGCACACGCCAGTCCATGCGTGCCCACGAGTGTGTGTGTGTCTCTATATGTGCCTGCACACCAGGGCATGTATCTGCGTGTACACATGCCAGTCCATGTGTGCCTATGAGAGGGAGGGTGCATGCCAGTGCCTGTACATGTATGCCCAGACGCCCGTGCATGCGTGTGGATCCGTGTGCGCGCACACCTGTGCGTGTGCGTGCGCCCCGGGCTCACCTTGATGCGGTGCAGGGACTTGTCGGGCTCGAGCAGCTGGACCCAGACCGCCACGCCCGCCTTGCTGTAGGTGAGGCTCCAGCCCCCGGCCGCCCCGCCCTCCCCGCCGGACCCCCTGAAAACC